GGGGCGGAACCTGGTACCTGAACGCAGGACATTTTAATGAAAAGCTTTTTCTATAAAGTTTTAATCTCCGAATTTACTAGTATTTGCTACTTTCATATTAATACTGTAACTTAAAAGGATTTCAGTTATCCTATATCGGACGCTATCACACGTCCATTGCGCCACGTCATCGTAATGCGATATTGTTGCATTCACCATTCATATAACATTCAAAAAAGAACTAAAGTCTCACCTTTTTGAAGCCCCCCAATTAGGATAATCGCTTTTAACATCTTTCAGTTATGATGCAGTCCACTCTTCAAGACGAAATACTGAATTAATTCGCTGGTTATATATCACGTCGATTTTTTTTTTAATGTGAATACTTAATGTAAATCTTTTTATGAAAATTAATACTTACAAATTTTGTTTAATGAAATAAATAATAAAAAAAACAGCTTCTAGGGTCAAGTTTTTCTAACAACACGAAACTGACTCCATAACACCAGTTTTATTAAATCCATTCAATACAGTAATGCGGAAGTGAGTGTATTGCAACCCCGCCCATTGTGACGTGTCTGCTGCTCTGCCCAATCTGGTCGTCTGTTTAGGTTAATATACTGTTTAGAGGAGATATGGGTCAACTTATGGACAGATTCGTCCAGATGTTCCATATTTAGGTCAAACAAGCATTAAACAGAATTAAATACAGAATACAAATCCGGCCACATGATTCTCATACAGACAGATAACAGTTCTTATTTTTTGTCTAGTCTCTTACCCCCATTTTCCATGAGGAGAAGATGGTTCAAATTATCTACCACAAGATGGCAGACCTGATTCTCCCGTCTAGTCTTATTTACAACTTTCACGTATTTCAATCATGATTTCAATGCCACCTGCAGTGATTAAGAATGTCTGAGATAATGAAAAGAGGAAACCTTGGGCCTAGTTTAAAACAAACAAAGTTCTTAGAAATGATATCATTTTTATTTATTTATTTATTGTATTTAATGTAATCATTTTGGGTTTATACATTTATGAGTGTTTAGGTTTATTCTCTAAAAATCAATGTGTAACCATTATGTAGAAATTACAAAAATACGTTCCTTGGACCATGAATGGCCGCGGTCCATCATGGCCTCCTAATCATCCCATGTAGGCTACTAATTGGCTTCATCCCCCTGTCTCCTCTCCAACAGTAAGCTGGTGTGTGGTGGCCGTTTAAAGAATGTTTATTTGATCTCAATCATCACTGTATTATATACTGCATGCATTTTGATGGAACACGGAAAAAAATAATTCCACATAATTTCTTGGCTCATTTAGGAACATTTTATTGATTTATTGAAAATTTCCCTCCCCTGACTGGGTCACTCTCAGGAGTTCAGTGAATTCAAGCATAGGTTGCCACCTATGAAATTTCCTCACTACTAAATATTCCACAGTCACTCTTAGTGGTATTATAACAAAGTGGAAGCAATTGGGAACAACAGCAACCCAGAGTGGGGTCAGTGTATGCTGAGGTGCACAGAAGTCGCCGACTTTCTGCAGTGTCAATAGCTACAGTGGGGTGAGATAAGTCTAAACAGGTAAATATTCAATCTTTCAAAACAGTCTTTAGAAAACTCAAGAAAAAGAGTTCTATAATCCTGCAATAAGGCCAGCTGCAAGTGTGAGGTTTAAATGCAAACAGTTTAACCTTAAAACAAAATCCTAAAACACATTTGCAAACTTGTTTTAGGATTTTGTCTATAGATTCAATAAACTGCAAAAAAAGACATTTCATAAGTCAAGCTTTACAAAAAAAGGTTAAACTGTTATTGTCAGTGTACTACAGCTGTGACATGTAAAAGCCACGAATCTTGAGCTGATGAAACTAACAACCATCTTTCAAAGTGAAATGTGCAAACTTGACCAGTCTGAAACACTAAGCTATATTACTACACCCTATAGGAAAAGATACATTTTTTTTAAACTATGCTGAAGCCCTGCGTCGTGACTAGTATGAGAGGTGCTGATTGATCTGGAGGTTCAAGCCTTCATGGACATATAAGGTTCTGATCTCAAAAGAAGAAGACCACACAAGCTGTTCTGTAAACAGTGTCCCCTGCTTGTCTGCCCCAAATGAGAGCCTCTCCATTCTAAGACACAACGCATAGTTGTGTTCCTTCCACACCACTTAATATCCCGCATGCATATACTAAGGGAGGTCCCCTCTGTCACACCCACTGTTGTTTTACTGTTTCAGAATGTGTTATGCCTACGTATCGTTGTCATAATTCAAATGCAAGGAGGAGAATGCGTTGGTTTATTAATAGTGAAATGTATGACTTGTGTACTCCAGTTTAGGCTTGTTTATTGTGTTTTATGGTCATCCAGGAGCACCACTGCATATCTATCATGTTAACACTCGGCAGAAAATGCAGTTTAGTATGTTTACATGTAAGCACTAATAGTCTTGAGGCTCTATAACTGAAGCCTTGACTAAGATTCTGGTTTTGATCATAGGTTTTGGCACATTATTATACAATTAAGGGTAGGCTACATTCAAATTAAATACATATTACATTTTATTATTAAATTGTTTCGATCTTAGGTTATATGTGTACAGTGAAATTGTTTTTCATTTCTTTAATACAGAACATATTTGTACATGGACTTTGACATAAGAACTAAACGTATTTGTCCTTGTTACACCTAGTAATAACTATAAATGATACATAATTACATGCAACTTACACTAAACTAAACCCTAATCCTAACCCTACATATTTATTATTATTACTCAGCACTTTAATGAATAATTATAAACTGTATGCAAGGACACTATAAAATAAAGAGTAACCAAGAACTGCTGTTATATTTAAAAGGTATCGACCCTTTGCCTGGCTTATGCCTGGCTCTCATATCAACCCATTCTTCATTCTGGAATATTCCTGCCATCATAATTTCTCTCCGGTTGTTTTCATCCAGTTGTTCCTCCAATGAAACAGCTGTCTTGTAATCAGAACATGCATCAAAAGATCGAAAATATTTTATTTTGTGACTGAAAGTTTATTCACTTCAGGCATCATCTTTAGTCCAGTTAGGTCTTTTTAGCCTAATAAATGAAGCCATGTGTTAGTAATCGAAGCATTCTTGAAGGAAAGAGCAATGACATTTTGCTTTGCTCTTGAATGAATTCTTATTGATGGATTTTTTGTTGTGTTTTGAAAGTTTAGCCAAACTGATTACAATAAATACTGCTAAGGTCACAGTTTACCCATTTGTGGCCTGTGCAAATAAATACTGAAAAAGTATGTGTGAGAAGTTGACTATAAATTTAGCACTTCTCAAATGGATAAATTAGGTATTATGTTTAAAGGTAAATTAAAGTGATGTTCTCTTTCTTTACTTTTGATAGTTTTTAAAATCAACCACATGTATTTGGCTTTTCCATGGCCTACACACTTCATTAAAAGTGTAAGCTTGGATTCCAGGACAAGAGAGATGTTTACAGCAGAGTAAAGCAGTGAATGACTGATGATAATATGTAAAGTGGCAGTTAAAAATGAGATGCTCACTCTTTTTTTTTTTTTTTTGTTCCTAATGAGTCTGGATAATGTTGTTCGGCAAAGCCAAATATACTCCTGGAAAGAAGCAGAAGTGAGGGTCTTTTCATATGCTTGAACCATTGTTTTGTTGTTAACAATAGAGTCTGGATTTTGCTGACCAGAGCTTAAAACCCACACAATAGTATCGTGTCAGCTTTTTGCACACCAAATGAGACTTTGTTTTTAAATGTACTATTTAAATGTTTCTCTTGGTGGACATCTAATGAAGGGGAACATTTCTTTATCAGATGTCAGCGGTTATTGCACCCGGTCAGATTATGTTCTATCCATCATGACTAATGACAACACATCCAATTTCATCATTATGGTTATCTCTATAAGACTTGTATTGCCATTGAGGATTGGACTCCCAGTGTCCCTCAGAATAAAATGGAGATCAATTTAAAGATTTGAGTTTGACTGTTTCAAACCAGCAGCAATGGAAAATTCACTCACCACTGAAGCAAAACAGCACAGGAAGCTATTTTATCTAGGATACATTCCCATGTTGTGTCCATCTTCCACACACGCACGACGATTAGAAGAGTAACAGTGAGTTTCATTTCCATATAAGGCTGCCCATGTAACATTTTAATATAAACTGTTGGAGACATGCAACTCAACCCTGATTGGTGAAATGCATCTTCAAAATGGCCCAATGAGGGCCTTCATTTATAGAGGTCATAAAGCTAGGCATCCAAAGAAACACCCACGTAATAATCAGAATACTTCTTTTATGGTTTCTGTCCAAGCACCAACGTAACAGTGTCTAAAAAACATGGATGAGCCTGAGATTCTTTTCCTTTCCTCATTATTAAGCTTTCAAAAAATAAATGTTTTTTCTGTTTAATGGATGTAATTCCAAATCAGGGAAATGATGATAGACTGAAGATTTTTATCTGTGTTGTCCTTAACACAATGATGAATCAGATTCAGATGCTATCTTGCCATCTGTTTACCTCCTAGCTCTGTTCTGCTGTGTTGGTGCCCATGCACTGGAAGTGTTTCCCTAATAAGGCAATGGTGTTTCCCCCTTTGATGCCACACAGATATGAAATGTGTTCCTGTCTCCAATTAACCTATTATAGAATGGAGTCTAAGCTCTTAAACAATCCGATTACACTCCCCATACTCGCATATCTCTTTCCTTCCCTCTGTCCTTTCTCTACTCTCTGTTCTCTCCTCCCTCTTTCATTCTGGTCCAGAGGGGTTGTCCCAAGAGTAGTTGGAGTGGGGAAAACAGAGAGTTGCACAGTGACTGGAAGCCACAGACAGAGCAGGACCTCCACAGATCAGTGGAATCCTGAAGGAACGTTTATTCAACTGGACACCCAAATCCATTTACAGCTCGTGGGACCGCAAGGAACTCCTACCAAAGGAGAAGAAAGGGATTGACGAAAAGGAACTTTCTTAAATTAGCTTTATTTTCTAGAGGTTAGCGGAGGAAGACAGATGACAGACTTTAGGGCAGCTCTAAAGCCCCGGTCGGGGCCTAAGCCGGGGTCTGAAATCAAGACAAGCACCCCAACGAAGGTTGACTTCAGATCATTGCTCAACAAGAAAGATGGTTCATCCAAAGCACCTGCTGCCACACCACCCCCAAGCAGCGCACCTTCAGGCTTCAGGTCTGTCCTGAACAAAAAGCAAGCACCAGAACCAGAGAAGACTGAGGAAAACGAACAGAATCCATCAAAACCAACACTCAAGACACCCCAGAAGGAAAATCGAAGTGGTGTCAATGGCGTAAATGGTGGCGAAAAGGTGAATGTAAAGGAAAACCCGACAACAGAGAAAAAAAACAGCAGCAATGATGTAGGGACAACTGAAAACAAGGAGAAAGCCAGTCCCAAGAACAAGACAAATGATGGACAAATAACAGAGACAAACGATAAAAAGGCAAAAGTGGTGAACGGAGGAGAAGGATGCTGGAAAGACGCCTGTTTTCACACAGACTCTCGGTGACATCACTGTGGTGGATGGAGAGAAGCTGAGGTTAGAGTGTCAGGTGACCTCTGACCCACAAGCTGTCATAACCTGGATACTTGATGGGAAAATCGTGAAGCCATCCAAGTTCATCATCTTATCACAGGAAGGTATAAAAGTTGACCACAATTTTAAAATAACAACGCAAAATTACTATTGATCTTCTATTTTCTGAACAGTCTTGATTGATAGTCCAATGTAATGTGGTAACCTTGGGTCTGTATAGAGTTACACTTTTAAAAACAAAAATTCCAAAAGGGGGATTTCACAGAGGTGCCATAGAAGAACTATTTTGGGTTCCCCAATGAACCTTTCTTAAAGGAATACTCCACTTTTTTTGGAAATAGGCTCATTTTACAACTCCCTCAGAGTTAAACAGTTGCGCTTTACCGTTTTTAAAACCAATTCACCCGATTTTATGATATTTTGAAGAATATCAGTAAACAGACAGTTTCTGGTCTCATTGACTTCCATAGTACTATGGAAGTCAATAAGACCAGAAACTGTCTGGTTACTGATATTCTTCTAAATATCAGAAAATCGGCTGAATTCGAAAATGGTAAACTATTTAACTCTGTGGGAGTGGTAAAAAGAGCCTATTTCCAAAAAAAGTGGAGTATCCCTTTAAAAGAATCCTATTATCTAAAGAACCTTTTTTTCCAATATAAAAGAACATTTTCTGCAATGGAAAGGTTCTGTGGATATTAAAGGATTTCATTGTCATGGAACCGTCAATGTTTTATTTCAAAAAGTGTATTTATTTATAGGGACAAGCTTAAACCCTCTCTTCCTAAGTTCCTTCTTTAGTGTTCTGAGTTGTGTTGTAAATCACATGAGAGGCTTGATCTTAAAGCTGAGGCTGATTCATGGCCAACTGGAGCACACAGTGAGTGTTATCTTGGCTCTTAGGTTATTCGATCTGAGGGTTTAAGGTCTCTCTATCCCATTTCACTGACATGAGACGGAATGATCATCTGGTCACAATTAGAAAGTTCTGAAATAGCAATAAAGGATTCCCTCCGGGTCTAAATCGCACAGGGATGTGATGGGTGTCCCCTACACTAATGCATTATCCAGTACTTTAAGCTCTCTGTTGTTCTGGTGGAATTTGTTTATAAAGCAGGGTCCTTAAGCACTTTTTGAAAGAAATTTTCCCGAATGCAATTCTTGGGAAATTCTCTTTTCTGAAGAAGAAAATGACAAGCCTTATATTTGGCAATAACAATCCAACAAATTCATTGAACATCTTACATTTGGGACTTTAAGATAAGTTGGAGGTTATCATAGCTTCAAGAGGTTATAGAACAATATTTTCCGGAATTCAAATTCTTCTGAAGTTTTGACAAACAATCTTAAGAAAAAAGCTAAGAACTTTATTAAGAGATGTCCAAATATGGTTACATTTTATTTTGATGGTCCACTTTAGATACTTTAATAACTATAAGTAACTTTGCAACTGCTGTACATGTCAACAAACTCTCATTCGAGTATTAGTAGACTCTTAGGTTAGAGTTTGGGACTTATACGGACTTATAGTCATAGAATGTCTGTTGGGGGACCATCACAATAAAGAGTTAGCAGACAGTCTACTAATACTCTAATTATAGTTAGTTGGCACGAGTTACTTGTAGTTAATGTCACAAGTGGACCATCAAAATAAAGTGTTAGTTAAAGTATTATTAACTTTATTTTTAGGGATAGTTCACCCAAAAAAAAGTGTTCTTCTGGACACAAAAAAATGTTGCCCGATTGACTTTCATAGTATTTTTTCCCCCCATACTATGGAAGTCAATGATGTCCATCCACTGATAGGTTACCAGCATTCGTCAAATTATCTTCTTTTGTGTTCAGCCAACGCAGTCTCACCCCAAAAAGTCATATAACTGACGTTTTGGGACGTCTTTTGGCCATACGTCAATATTCGCCTTTTTAGGGCCCCCTTAAACGTTGGTAGATGAGGTTATGGGATCCTAACTCTACCCCAGACCTAAACCTAACCCTAAACCTAACCCATCACCTAACTGACGTTAAAGGTAAAGCGGCAGTTGTATGACAGCCCGGGATCGCCATACCGACGTTTAAGGGGGCCCTAAAAAGGCGGATATTGACGTATGGTCCAAATACGTCCCAAGACGTCAGTTATATGACTTTTTGGGATGAGAATGTGTTGGTTCAGCAGTAGAGAGAAATTCACACAGGTTTGGACCAACTTGACAGTGAGTACATGATGAGTGTATTTTTATTTTTGGGTGAACTATCCCTTTAAGTTAGAAAATATCAGTTAAGAAGACCAGCCCCTGATCTTCTTACATTTTTATCAGACATTTTTGAAATATTCATATGAATCATTTGTGCTAGTGGAATATCATTTACTTTCATTAAAATTTCACATTTGTTTATGGAGAACGACTTCAGAATTTGACGTTTTTTGATAAATTAGGTAATAGCCGAGCTAAATTCAAAAGCAGAAATTTGACTTAAAAAAACAAAGCTTCAGTCATAAAACTATTTAGTTGTAAACATCTGCGTGTTTACAAGGACAAAACACACTTGTCGTTCAATTCTACCTCTTGTTTTTACATCAGGTGAAAAGTGTTCCCTTACAATTGACAAGGCTCTACCAGAGGACGAAGGGCGATACACATGCAGAGCAGAGAATGCACGTGGTAAAGCAGAGTGTTCCTGTATGGTCACTGTTGATGGTAAGTGTCTTGTATCCAAGAGTTCTCTTTATCCATTGGAAACATAGTAGCTATTGAGAGAGGGTGCAACTATAACGAATTCCTCCCAAAACTGATAATCAGGATTAATGTGTTGTGTTGCATTCTTCTAGATCCTTCAGACCCATCAGCAGATAAGAAAAACAGGAAGAGCCCTTGTGCAACTCCCACAACAGAAAGTGAGTAAGGACACCTGTGGCATGTTTACTTGGTCTGTTAGTTATTTAAAGGGATTGGTCACCCAAAAATGAAAAGTTGCTCATCCGTTACATCGTTTCAAAAACTGTTCCATTTCTGGAACGTAAAAACAGACGTTTTGAAGAATGTTCACGCTGCCCTTTTCCATATGGGGAAAAGTAATTGTCAAGCTCCAAACATTATTCATAAAAGTAGCCCATGTGACTCATTGATATGAACATTCATCATTCACCACATCTTGTTCCAAACCTGAATGCATTTCTTTCTTTTGCAGAACATCAAATATATTTTGACAAAAGTCTGTTTTGGTTCCCATTGATTTCCATTGTATTTTTTTTGTCCATTTAATGGAGGTCAGCGGGAACTGAAACTGTTTGCTTACACAAATTCTTCTTTCATGTTCCAAAAAAGATATAACGTCATGGAGGTTTGGGTTATTATACAGGATCATTTTGGGGTGAACTATCCCTTTAAAGTAATACAGTTCTGTACATAATCATCAATAGAAAAAATAATATCTGCTGTTGCGGACTAATCTTCATGCATGGTTTGAATGGTTGCATAGGAATTTTTTTCTTTTTATTTTTTTTCAAAAATCTTGTTTGCAACAAACATTAATAACTATCCAGGCTTGGCATACTATTAATAGGCCTTGTGTTTGTTTTGTCCCTCTTGAGGATGACCATAGTGAATATTTCAGTAACCTTCCAAAAACCACAATAATTCACTATTAAACACCATTTCCTGAACCGTATTCTCGGAAAACCCGCACTGTGTGAAATGAACCTTAGTCCAGATTTCCCTTTCACAAATATTTGTAATTTGAGAAGATGACCCCATAGACAGGACAATGGCCATCACGCACACTCTATCCATGGAGGATTTTCGTATCTGATGGCAGATTGAACGTGTGTTGCTCAAATGGTTTCCCTGTCACACTAGATCCTGTGTTTTAATCCATGTGATTGTGGTGGAGTAAAAAATAAACTCAGCCGAGAGTGTTTTGGAACATTAGGCAACCCGTTTTAGTGCTGCATTTGTTCCTCTAGTATTTCGTAAGCATAGCAGCCTTTAAGACATGAGCAGCCCACCTTTACATTACAGTCATGTTCTTAACAAACAATGTCAACATGATTTACAATTTATGGAACAAAAAGCATGTAACAGACAAATACCAGGACATCCAGCTGAGAGTATGCAGTGCTTGTGGAAAAAACTCAGGTGTGTCCAAGCATAAGAGATGGAATGAGAGATAGGAGACAGAAGAGAAGGCCTAAAATGGTAGACTTCTGTGAGCTGAAACACATAAAGATCTGACTGTCCTCTCTGTCTTCCTTAGCCCTTTTCTCCCCCTCTCCCATTCTCTCTCTCTCTCTCTCTGTTTGGACTGTGCTGGAGTATTAGTGGGGTTTACATGTTGCATTGTTTCTTGACGGCGATCAAACCTTAAATAAATAGTGGAGAGAGAGAGACACTGCTTCCTGGATCTTGGAGACCCTATATTTAGCATGCCCATATAAGGGGAATTCCAGCGAGACAGTGTCCACACAGACACTCTTTCCCTGGATGCTGATCGGGAGTGGCAGTTTCCTTAGAACTCCTGTCAATTCGTAGATCATCGCCCACAGATGAATATCTTGATTAGTCATTTCCTTTTACATGGTGCAATGATATCAGTAATGTCAACATGGTTGATTATGTAGTGGATTGGTTTGGAGAGTAAGTCATTTATCAATTTTAAAGGAGTAGTTCACTTTTGAAAAAACTTTTGCTGATAATTTACTCACCCCCATGTTATCCAAGATGTCCATGTCATTCTTTCTTCAGTTGAAAAAAAAAATTAAGGTTTTTTGATGAAAACTTTCAGTGCAACCAGTTCAAACGATTCCAGACGATGAATAAGGGTCTTATCAAGCGAAACGATCGTTAATTTAATAAATAAATAACAAAGTTTAAGTTTTATAAGCTCAAATGGTCGCCTTGCTCTGTTCTGTGACGCACGTTTGTGACTCTCCTGTTCAAACTCGTTCATCAAAAGGAACGAATCTTTTTCCGAGTCATTTGGTTCATTTAACGAACGAAACGAATGAATTGACGAGTTCGAACAGGAGAGTCACAAGAGTCGCGTGCTTCGCAGTACAGAGCAAGGCGAGCATTTGAGCTTATAAAACTTAAACTTTGTTATTTATTTATTAAATGAGTGATCGTTTCGCTTGATAAGACCCTTATTCATCGTCTGGAATCGTTTAAAGCCCATTGAACAGTTTTGCAGTTTGCACTGAAACTGTCTTTTGGACCTTGACCCGTTTGGTTCCCACTGAAGTCCATTATATGGAGAAAAATGCTGGAATGTTTTCATCAAAAACCTTAATTTCTTTTCGACTGAAGAAAGAATGACATGGACATCTTGGATGACATGGGGTGAGTAAATTATCAGCAAAAGCTTTTTGAAAATTCTGACATTATTTATACACCCTCAAGTCGTTCCAAAAATGTATGACATTCTTTCTTCTGTGGAACAAAAAATAAGATATTAGGAGAGATGTCACTGTCTTTTTTTTTTTAAATCCAGACGATGTAAGTCAATGGTAACCAAAACTGTTTGGTTATATTGTCATTCTTCAGAACAGTAATAGAGGTTTGGACCGGCATGAGGATGAGTAAACGGTTATCATTTTTGGTCAAACTATCCCTTTTGATCAAATGTTTGTTTCAATAATTATGTAAATATGTCTCCCTAAAGATATACAGTGTAACTGTTTATCTGTCTTACATCAATACATGCTCTATATCTTCTGCAGATGAAGCCAGAATAAAGAAGAAACCAGCTCCCGCCAAACAGTGTAAGAATATCTTCCCACTGAAACGTACATAATCATACTAATCTGAGGAATATTTAAATGCCTTGTATACTTTATAAGCTGTCTTGCAAAATTCTGATAGTAGACAGGCAGAGAGAAAAAATACAGAGTAACAATTTACCATGAGAGTGTTGACTGTGAATTTGTGTCCGCCTATGATGCCATGCAGGTTCTCCGCCTCAGTTTCTGCAGTTCTCTGGAGATCGGAAGATCAGGGCAGGAGAAAAGGTGGAGCTGTTGGGCAACTTTGGAGGGTCGGCACCAATAACTTGCACCTGGCTCAAATTTAAAAAGCCGGTAGGAAGAGTTGGAGAAGTACAGAGAGTTTGTAACATGACAGATCCTTGGTTCCCAAACATTTTGAAACAAAGTCCCCATTTTATTGTGATTTTTTTTTTTTTTTACCCGTCCCCAAACCCTGAAAAACAAAATAAATACATTTGCCACATAAGCATCTTTTAGCTAGAAAATTTTGGAGCACAACATTTTGCTCTGATCAGGATTTTTAAAGTCCCCGTGAGATCAAAATTGAACCTATTTACGTTGTTAGCGCATATTACTAGTCTTGTGGTGAACAATTAATCCGTGCAAGTAAATATATATTTTAAAAAAATTTACCTTGGTAATCTTTAATCAAAATCTGAAAAGTTACTTCCGGTCTGGAATGGTTTCTTTTTCTGATGACGTAGGTTTCACAGCTGGGGTGGGGAAGTTTGCTATGAGCGAGAGATGGAGAGGAGGAGCGCTAGAGTAAAACCCTGCCCTCTGTTCAATATTCCGTTTCACTTGGAAATACGTCACAGCACTGGAGAAAAATCGTTTGCAACTTCTGGTTCACGGGGATTCGGTCACTGATTTTTTAACATCTTGATCAACCGATACAGATCCCGTTACCAGTTTTTATGTCGATCGGTATTGGTTTACAGTCATTGTTAACTGAACTGTAAAGTAGTGACACAAAGTACTGAAGTTTGATTAATTCAAATAAACTTTAAAAATAGGCCTGGTTTCGTAGACAGGACTAAGATTAAGCTGGGATTAGGCCTTAGACCTTATAACTAACTCAACCGTGCATTTTAGTCTGGTACTAAGCCTTGTCTGTGAAACCCGGGGGTTAATTGTAAATAACTACACTTAATTCATTTTATTAATAGTAATATATCAAAAGTATAGATTCAATAGTTTATTTTTTAGTAAATACATTCCATGGCTTTTAATTTAGTTGCATGAATTGAAATGGTGCATCGGTTTGATGTAAAAGCGGTAAAATAATCTAAACATTGAACACCGAACACCCAATTTTAATATAAAATGCAGTCAAGTTAATTCGAAAATGAAAGCCTAAAAGACCTCAAGACCTAAATTACATGATCTGCTCTTCTCTTGTTTAGATCCAGCCAGGAAGTAGGGGCATTTCCATAGAGACCAGAGAGAACAGCAGTCAGCTGACAATCACAGCGAGCGACCAGGATCACTGCGGCTGCTACACTCTAGAACTGCAGAATAAATTTGGCACCAAGCAGGCCTCACTCAATCTCACCATCGTAGGTATGGGAGCAAACAAAAACAGGAAGTGACACATAAAGGCAAGGAAGCAGATGGGATTATGATTGACTGTCACATCACTGTGTGTGTATGTGTGTGCGCGTGTGACAAAATGTCCCATGAGGAAAACAGCTTATAAATCGAAATCATAAGGGATGTTTTTGTCTGAATGTAAAAATTCTGAATTTGTTTTGTGATGAGTAAGTTTAGGGGTAGGGTTAGTCTAAGGGTGTGTGTGCGAGTCTGTGTGCATGTTATTTCGGGTTCAGTCACTTATTTATAGAACCCCTCTAAAAATATTAATTTGTTGCTGTCTCCAATCAATATCAGCACTATCAGTTCATTAGCATTTTAATAAAACATAAAGCACATTTACTGGTCAAGTGAAGTCCAGTCACCTTTTTATAGATCTTTTTACAATACAGATTGTTTCAGAGCAGCTAAGTGCTAAAGTTATTAATTTAGTTCATTTATCTGAAAACAGAGATGTCATTGTCCAGCTCAGTTAAGTTTGTGTCAGTGCAGGCAAATCAATAATATTGTTGAAGGTGTATAGTACTAGTAGCTGACTATTGCTGACCTGTCCATGTAAATCTGTGTCCCAGATAAGCCAGATCCCCCAGCCGGCATCCCTGCTGCTTCCGACATCCGCATGTCTTCACTCACTCTCTCCTGGTACGGCCCCACTTACGATGGAGGCAGCGTCGTCCAGTCATACAACCTGGAGATCTGGAACTCCATAGACAACACATGGAATGACCTGACCTCTTGTAACAGCACCTCATACCATGTCCAGAACCTTCTCGTCGATCGTCACTATAAGTTCCGCGTTCGAGCTGTTAATGTGTATGGAGTTGGAGAGCCCAGCGCAGAATCTGAGCCCATTAAAGTGGGAGTGGAGGAGATAACAGGTGAGAATGAACATCTGCTCAATTGTGAGATACGTTCTGTTTCTTTGATCGAGAAAGAATCAGTGGGCTCCAAAAATCTGAAGCCAATAGAGAGCCACTATATTTTGTTTTTCAAAATGGATCTTGCTTTAATGGCAATAGCATGAGCATGAATTCTACGTTCAGTGATCACATTTTTTACCATGATGTGAAAATGTAAAGAGTGTTGTGTATGTCAATGGATACATATTAATTTATATTAGGCCTAATTAAATTATATAGATGCAAGATCTTATTTTTTAAAAAATTTTCAAAGTCTAATGTTCGATTTTTGTCCAGGTTTAGATTGAAAAAACTATATTCAATTTGGCCTCAGACTATTGAACCTGTATAAATGTGATGATCTTAAAAAAAAAAACGATAAAGTTTTAAAACATTCCTATTCTTCTCCAGAGAAAAAGGAAGAGGGGGAAGTTGGAGCCACTGTGTCTGATGATGGTATGAAGTTCAAGCAATTATCCACCCCTTCTGAATCCAAAGTTTACTAACTTGACTCCCACATGATACATATCCTGTTCATTTCACAGATGAGGAGAAAGAACCAGAATACAGAGATGTGGTCATTAAGAAAGACTGTAGCGTTAAGGACTTCTATGATATAGAGGACCGCTTAGGAACGTAAGAGATGCATCTATTATATCTATTTTAGATTTACCAGAGTTTTCTTCCCTATTCTCCCTTTTCCAATTCTAATGGTCTTTCCCTTGTCTCTACAAGTGGTAAATTTGGTCAAGTCTTCAAATTAGTGGAGAAGTCCTCCAAGAAGGTATGGGCAGGGAAGTTCATCAAGGCATTCTCACAAAAGGACAAGGAGAACGTGAGGCAGGAGATTGGTATCATGAACAGCCTTCACCACTCCAAACTGGTGCAGTGTGTGGACGCCTTTGAGGGAAAGTCTGACTTGGTCATGGTCTTGGAGATGTGAGTTCCTAAACTATTTTATGCTATCCAAGTAGGCTGTTGAAAAATCCAGCATACAGTATAATTGCATGCTGGGACCAGCTTGGAATGCTGGTTCCTGGTTTGTTGGTCCCCAGTATGGGAAGCAGGAGTGACACCAGCTCAGTTTTGCTTGAAAACAGCAGGACTATGCTGGTCAACCAGTTATAGCAGCACTATACCAGCTCTAACAAGCATAAACCAGCCTGGACCAACATGGAATTCAAGCTGGCTTATGCTGGATTTTTCAGCAGGTTATCATAACTAAATAAAACATGTTTCATGTTGGGGCCGATTGGTGAACACTCTCAAAAAAAGGTACAAAAGCTGTCACTGGGGCTGTACCCTTTCAAAAGGTACACTTTTGTACCTAAAGGCTGCATATTGGTACCTTAATGGTACATATTAGCACCTAAAATGTACATATTAGCACCTAAACTGTATTAACACCTAAAATGTACATATTAACACATAAAATGTACATATTACACCTAAAATTTACATATTAGTACCTAAAATGTACATATTAGCACCTGAAATGTACATATTAGCACCTAAAATGTACATATTAACACCTGAAATGTACATATTAACACCTGAAATGTACATACAGTATTAGTACCTAAAATGTGCATATTAGCACCTGAAATGTACATATTAGCACCTAAACTGTACATATTAACACCTAAAATGTACATATTGCGTAACACCTAAATTGTACATACACCTAAAATGTACATATTAGTACCTAAAATGTACATATTAAAATGTACATATTAGCACCTGAAATGTACATATTAACACTTAAAATGTACATATTAACACCTAAAATGTACATATTAGCACCTGAAATGTACATATTAGAACCTGAAATGTACATATAAGCACCTAAAATGTAAATATTGGCACCTAAAATGTACATACAGTATTAGCACCTAAAATGTACTCACACCTAAAATGTACATATTTAGCACCTGAAATGTACATATTGGCCGCTAAAATGGACAAAAGTTTACCTTTTGAAAAGGTTCAGCCACAGTGACAGCTTTTGTACCTTTTCTTCTGAGAGTGTGTGTTCTGGTCCTGGTCTATTTGAACAGGCTGTGATGTTTGGTAGTTGTTGTTTTCAGTTTTGCTTTTTATGGAGAAGGTGGAATGTAAAATCCAGCACCCTGTGATTGAAGAAGTGTGTGTCATATGTCCTTATATAGTGAGATGGAGAAACAGGGAGTTGGGGAGGAGAAAGCATGGATGCTCTCTTTCTTGGCTTGGCAGCCATGAAGGAAAATAGTCCAGATTTAAATCTCCCTGACTGTAAGAGAACTATTTAGCTCTGCAGGGGCAGACACTGTTCATATGGTTGTTAAATGGAATGTGCATAAACAGTTCTAATGCAGTGAGTCTGACAGATAGGGTCACTAAACGATGTTGTCATTGTGGTACCCCATTGGCTGCAGGATCTCTGGAGGTGAGTTGTTTGAGCGAATCGTCGATGAGGATTTCGAGCTGACTGAGCGAGAGGTGATCAAGTACATGCTGCAGATCATAGATGGAGTGCAGTTTATCCACAAGCAGGGCATTGTCCACTTGGATCTCAAACCTGAGAACATCATGTGCATCAACAAGACGGGAAGCAAGATCAAACTTATTGACTTTGGACTCGCTCGAAGGCTAGGTAAACAAGGGTAAACAACTGCAAATGCAAGCACGGAGTGTGTTTTTGTTTGGCATGTTGATATTTTGTTGTTGTTTTCAGAGGATTCTGGCTCTCTGAAGGTCCTGTTTGGAACTCCGGAGTTTGTAGCTCCTGAGGTGATCAACTATGAGGCTATCAGCTACCCAACAGACATGTGGAGTATTGGCGTCATCTGTTACATTCTGTGAGTGACAAATCTCAGCTCATCCAACCGTCCTTAACAACTGCGGCACGTAAAGACAAAGTAATCAATGCTGAAGACTGGAAACATTTCCTTTTAAGGCCATTATACGTTTTTGGACAACTCGCTTTCCAAGCTTGCTTTTTCAATTCATCCTATAAACACAATTTTAATACCTTGGAGGTAGAGGATAAATATTTAAACTGACTTGTGTCAGTTACTTTTATCGGGGCTAATGGCTCCAAAAGGCAGTTCTTGATAATAAAAAAACACTAAATTCCACCCAGTAAACACAGAACGTTCCCCTAACGTTCGCGAATGGTCCCATGAGGCTATTTTTTTGGGAACCAAACAAGAACGTTATAGGAACTTTCCATGTAGGTTATTTTTAGGTTCCATTTTTATAACGTAAGGAGAATGTTCCGGGAGCGGAAGTTCTAGGAACGTTCTGGGAACCAAAAACTAACGTTCCCAGAACCTAAATTTGTTTGCTGGGCAATCATTAAAAAAAACACCTCAATATTTTCGTAAATACCTTGTTTTTGCTGATTCATAAAGGCATTGTGTTTTTCATTAAAAGTAATTTGATTCTAATGTTGTAAATGAGAATGCCTGAACCTATCTAATATTTTTTGATAATAGAACAAACTTGTTTTTTGTCGATTTTCAGATTTATTGAAAGTGATTCAATCATTTTCAATTCAGTTGAAAAAGTGAAAATGAAGTCCCCACCTATGAAATATTGCCTCTTTATTTATAAATATTGCTTATAAACTATATCACTATATTATTGGCTCTAAACTATATGACGTTTAGCATTTATTTTTACAAAATAAACACTTCATTGAACATGTTACACCATAGTCATAAAAGGGAATCTTGGTCTGTTTTTTTATTGTTTTTAAAAGAAGTCTCTTATGCTCACCAAGGCTGCATTTATGTGATCAAAAATACAGTAAAATATTATTATGGTTTAAAATAACTGTTTTCTATTTTAATATACTGTAAAAAAATATTTATCAATGTTATCACAACATATTTTATTTTGTCAAATCAACTTTATAATAATTTATTTAGTAGAGATAACTTATTATTTTGAGTTTCTGATGGTTAAATTAATCTCCTTCACTGTATTAACTCACTTTTTCCAGTTCAATGAACTTAAAATTTTAAGGCAACCAGGTAACTTACTTTTTTAAGTTAAACCATCAATATTTTTTTACAGTGTGTGATGGCAAAGCTGAAATATCCGCATCATTCAGTGTTACATGGACCTTCAGAAAATGCTTTTAGATCCCCTTGTACCTTACATCACATTTTGGTTGAAAATGCTGTATCAGAATCAACGATTATTGCCTGATACCCTTCCTCTTGTTTACCCTCAGTGTCAGTGGTCTCTCACCATTCATGGGAGATAATGACAATGAAACCCTTGCCAATGTCACCTCAGCCACCTGGGATTTTGAGGATGAGGCATTTGATGAGATTTCCGATCAGGCCAAAGACTTCATCAGCAGTCTCCTGAAAAAGGACATGAAGTAAGATGAAAGCTTAACAGAAGAAACTCTTGATTAAAGATCACTTTTAATGAATTACCAACATGGTTCCAAGTGAATTAAATGCCTTTTAGAGCACTCTGTAGATGCACAGGAAGCGCATTCCTTAAATGACACATCTTGAGCTCTTGGCATAGACATTGTTGTAAATGATTGGTGTAATTGGCACTCAAATGTATTAGTACACGCTGAATGTGTTCTAGTACACGCATTTGATCTGAATTCTGAGACCCTTTAAATGCCTCACTGCAGGGCCAGACTGACCTGCGCTCAGTGTTTCGAGCACTCCTGGCTCAAACAGGACACTAGAAATATGGAGGCTAAACAGCTGTCCAAAGAGAGGATGAAGAAGTACATCCTGAGACGCCGCTGGCAGGTGAGAGCACTGCATTTTATTTTGATTTATTCGTTGAACAAAGAATGAGATTCAAATGAAACTGTTTGCTTGGTGGAAGTGGCAGAGTTTAGATTTTATGTTTGTGTGTGTCTGTGCAGAAAACAGGGAATGCAGTGCGAGCTATCTCTAGGTTCAGCTCTATGGGAATGTTAGGAGGCATCGGACCAAAGAAAAGCTCTCCGACTGATGGTATGGCTCAGCAACCAATTTCCACATTGTTGGAGCATATAGGCTTGAGAGCAACATTGTCCGCCCACTTTTTCAGCAGCGCTTGTTCCGGAAGTATTTTTTTCCATTCATTTCTCCCATGGGATTTCAAAAGAGTCTTTGTTATAAACCATGAACCAAGCCGACCAGCAATAAGATGAATCATAACACATTATAAACTTTGATTTGAAGCAAAAACAATATTTGAAAATCAGATTAAAAACATTTTTAAAAACCAGATTAAAAGTCTTTAGTGATAGAAATATCTACAATCCCCTGAAACACTGCAAACAGCATATCATTTAAAAATGTTCATTATATAAAATATGCATATATATTCAAATTTTTCACTATTTTGAGAGCATAGGGAGATGACTTGTTTGCAAAATATATTTATTTGAAAATATATTTATATTTATTATATTTATAAATTATATATTTATAACTTATACTATGAGTTATATAAATTATAACTCATAGTAAGGTTGTCTTAAAATATGTAACAAGTTATAATTAAAAATCAATGTCTATATGGAGAAACTGAATGTAGTTTTTACTTCCGACTGTGTTCCGAATCCGACTGTTGTCCTCTATTGCATATTAAGTGTCATATATGTAAAAATATTGTTTGCATATAAATGTAATAAAAACCTGTGGTTTCAGAAGAGCCTCCTGCACCATTCTTTGAGATTGCGGAGGATGAAAACCGCACACCAGAGGCTCCCACCTTCTCCTCTGTCATTCAGGATGTGGAAGTGGTGGAAGGCAGTGCTGCCCGCTTTGACTGCAAGATTGAGGGTAATGACCTTTGACCTCAAATGATATTGTGCTTTTATGCTGAGTTGTAATTATTTTGCCGTTCACCCTACTGTCAAATACTATTACAATTTAAAACAACTGTTTTCTTTTTATATATTTTAAAATGTAATTTATTCCTGTGACGGCAAAGCTGAATTTTCAGCAGCCATAACTCCAGTCTTCAGTGTCACATGATCCTTATGAAATCATTCTAATATGCATTATGATTTGGTCCTTAGAGATATCCATTTAAGGTAAATCAGCATTTTTTTATAAACAATTGTTGCTTCTTTTTTTGTATGTGCTAACATTATCAGTTATGATTGTTCTCTGTTGTGTTTAAATTCCAAAGGAATATTAACCATTTGGTTTGAGCAGGGTTTTTTTTTAGTCTTTTATTCAATATTTTGTATATTTAATCTGTTTTAGGGTCTCTAAAATGGAAATAGTTATACATAGGCCTAATAGTCATATCTCTATCTCTAACCACTACATAATCATCAATATTGTCAGGATTCTTTTTACATTCTGTGCTCAAAAGAAAAAGAAAAAGAAAACACACAATGAGAAAGCTGCTGGTAGATGTGGGTGGAGATCATAGACTGTAAAAAATATGAACAAAGCGTCTGTGACTTTCTGAAGAACAGTTTTGAGGCTGTTTATGGGGGGTAGGGGCGGCGCCATACTGGAAAATCTTGAGAAATACAAAATACAAATGTTCAGAAAGGATACAGACTTGGTATGATGTGTTGTGTCAGATCATGGCCGAGACGTCAAATTCCACTTGGCACAGCCCGTTATCAGCTGTCAATCAAAGTTGACCGCCTTTATTTGTCATAGCTACATTTTATATCTATATGAAGAGTTCAGATGCAAAAGCCTCTAAGTGCCATTTGAAATTTTCTTCTAGAATGATCATTTTTATCAAGTTTGTATATTTAAGTTCAGTGATTTCACTTAAATGGCAATGATAATTACCTATTAATTGTTATTTAAGTGAAATTACTGAACTTAAATATACAAGTTGGATAAAAATCATCATTAAAGAAGAAAATTTTAAATGGCATTTAGAGGCTTTTGCATCTGAACTCTTCATATATGATCTAAACTAACGAGTTAGAAAAAAAATCACCCCCCACACAGTTTTCAGGCACTCGGAACCTATCGAAAAAACACAATGAAAATCCATGGGGCCAAACTGCAAACATATGAATTTATGCTGTGAAAATGGACATTTTAACATGCTGTCTATGGATATTTGCTCCCTCTAGCGGATTTTAGATGTATTGCCGTTTTTCGCACTTCCAGGTAGGCTTCATTTTTTCAGATTAGGATGTTGCTTGGTGGAGATATGATCATCATCAGTAAGAAAATGAACAAACCAGAGTTGGGTATGATTCATAGCATTTACACCACTCCATATATTGATATTTAAATGCTCCATTACGCAGTAGCGGCCTTTGCTATGTTTCTCCTGTTTCAAACGCGCCTTGCAAAAGAAGGGGTCTCACTACCCTATCTCATCACGACCAATTCGTACGAATTCGACGAATGATTAAAAAGTGTCTAATTCGTACTAATCCGTACGACCTCACTCGTACGAATTCGTACGATTTGTCTAAACCCACGTGATGGGTAGGTTTAGGAGCAAGGGGTAGATAGATCATTCGTACGAATTCATACGAATTGGCCAATTCGTAAAACATGTACGATTTAGCAAAATCGTACTAATTCGTATGAGTGAGGTCGTATGAATTCGTACGAATTAGCCCCTTTTTAATCATTCGTCAAATTCGTACGACTTGGTCGTGAGATCAGGTTGGGTCTCATCTTGTGCGTGAAAAAGAGCCCGTTCTCACGCCGTTCTTAAGTACATTAATTCTTGTTTTTAATATCTATAAACAATATAGCTATTCAGCAATATCATACATATATTTCCAGATATCAGCACATTTGCAAATGGCATATTGATTTTATAAATAAACAGTTCAATAAAGTTTATATTTGGTGATTTTACATTTTAGACTCAGAATATTGTTTTTGCTCTATTATTTCGCCAATGAGAATAATTCCAAACAAATCACAACAGAGCCATTGCGCTAGCCTAGAAATCTAGACGCACCCTAGCGGCAGCAAAAATTATTTTACAGCAAAGTGTGGTCTAGCTAGCCTAGACATCTAGACGCACCCTAGCGGCAGCAAAAATTATTTTGCAGCAAAGTGTGACATCTTGATGTAGGTCTAACATAGGTCTAACATCTTGATGTAGGTCTGGCATGCCAGGCTACCATTGCGCGTCTCTGAGCAACACAGTGGTGTTTCCTTATTGAATGAATCCTCTGTTTTTTCAACTAATCATTTGAATAAATGATTCAATGACTCACTCATTATGACAATGAGTTGCCGCCACCTACTGGCGGTTTAGTTTCATATTTTTTAAAAGTATCATTTCATTAGGGTTAAAAAAGATAGAATGCGTAGATAGTGGTGGCAGAATGCATTTATAAATAGACTATTACGAGTGATATATGAGATAGCATTGTTGAATATACACTCTTAGAAGAAATGGTTCTATTTAGAACCAGAAATGGTTCCATCCCCCACTTCATATATGGAACTCCAAAATGGTTCTATATAGAACCATTTTTTTTGGTAAAAGGTTCTATTGGCCAAGTAAGGAACCCCAGGGTTCTATATAGAACCCAGAGGAACCCTTTTTTTAAGAGTGTATAGAACCTTTTAGGGGTTCCAAATACGTAGCGCTGATAGAACCTTTTAAGGTTCTATATAGAACATTTTCTTCTAAGAGTGTAATAATAGATAATAAAGTAGCTATTTGTAGTTGCACTGCATGACATGCTTGTCTGTATTTTTTCTCAACGGGCCTCCAAATTGCAGAGGCCACCTATGTCATTATGTTAATCATTGGTAGGCCAATGGCTTTGATAGCATGTTTATGATAATAATATTGATTTACTGTATTTTCTGAACTCAAAGGGTACCCAGACCCAGAGATAGTGTGGTACAAGGATGACCAGCCTATTAAGGAGACTCGTCACTTCCAGATCGACTATGAAGAGGACGGCCACTGTAGCCTGGTGATCTCAGAGGTTTGCCCCGATGATGATGCTAAGTACACCTGCAAAGCCGTCAACAGTCTGGGAGAAGCTTCCTGCACCGCTGAACTGTTGGTGGAGTTCATGCAGGAGGAGGAAGGAGACGGAGACGGTGAAGGAGAGGAGGACTGAATAAAGACGGAAACAGAAGTGTAAAATGATGGACGGTGTGAGAAAGAGGAGAGTGGCTTAATACCACAGAAACTATGAATATCTTAAACATTTATACAATTTCGATTCTCCTTTTTTACACCATCTTTATGTTTCTTCTTACTGCCTAGAATAGTTCTGAGTAAAACTGTTTGCTGAGATCAAAGACATTCCTGCTTGTGTCTTTCTGTCCAGATAATGATCCCAACTGTTTTACCAAAAGGGACTGCAAAATTAGATATATAGCAAGCAATCCTTTGATGTTGGGACACCTGGACAAAAAAAAAAAAAAAAAAAAAAAAACGGCTTGTTTTATCGGACTGATCACATTACATTGATATCATCTATGTCAGTCATTTTTTTGTGAGTCAGTACACAAATGTGTGCACATTTTAAGTCTGCACTGCAGTGCAATCTAGTGGTAAAAACACGACTGTGCTTTTAAAATGACACTTATCTAGTCTATATGGTGTCAATATCAATATGAAGACTGAATGGAGACCTTACTGTATGAAGATATCAACTTTTTTATTTTTTGGCATTTTTCTAATGATTATATTACTATGTTTTATTTAATAGTTATAAGAATTATTGTTTCTGAATGATTGAATGTAGTCAATCATTTAGAAACTGTAGTTGATAGAAGAAAGTGACTAGCAATAGAAGTGATATAGACTCCTCAAATACAAGGGACTGTCTGTGCTGTTTCCACTTTGAGTTCATTTAGCATTTTGTATCTAATTCACTTGCATGACAGAACAATGGGGTGAATTTTGTGCTGCAACCGACAATACAAAGCTTCATTACATATTTATGACCCTGTAAAGGCTTCTGCTGCCTTTGAGTGTCTGCACTATTCTCTGAGAATGAATTAATCATAGAATTAAGACTCGGGCCTGTTGTGTCTTTTCTTTTTTCACTTAACATATACTGCTTTTAATTTCCCATCACATCAGAAGTATAGCATATCATAACTTGAAACAAATCATGGCCCTGTATGTTAGTTTAGGTTCATTCTGCAAAACTGAACACTGGTCATAATAAAGTGTTTCCCCTCTGTGCTTTTGTGACATTTGTTTGTTTGTCAGAATTAGTTAAACTGGTTTAATGACATGGAGTGCTGCAATTTCTATACAGGCAGTTCAAAGCACGGCACAAGTATTTGAAGGTAGCAAGTTAACTAAATTTTAATACAGCATTAATCCCAGTATTTTTGTCTTAACCTTATTCACTATGGTAAACCTATTATAAGTGTTTATATTTGAGATGTGGATGGTTTTCGCAGGAAGTTGCGTATACGTCACTGACTCGTGTATATCAGTAGAGAAGTTGATACTTTGGCTACTTTGACGCATGTGGAGTGAGAGTGACATTGGTTAGTTGTTATAACGTGCGAGAATGACATTGAGTCCAGATCATAATCATAATCATAATCCAAATCATAGTCCAGGTCATCATCAGCTTGTAAAAGAACCAGGATCAGGTCCAACAATAAACCAAAACTTGCTAGCATTGAAATACTTATATGTTAGCTACGATAGAATAATCTTATGTTTGTGCTTTAGAGCAACTATAGGCCCGGTTTCACAAACAGGGTTAAGATTAAGCCAGGATTAGGCCTTAGTTAAATTAGGACATTTAAGTATAGCTTTTATAAACTTACATTCTCCTTAGAAAATAAACATTTACTGGTGTGCATCTTGGGACAATAACAATGGCACTGACATATTTTAAGATATCAGAGCAAGTTGCTTTCATTTAAAACAGCTCAAACATGCATTTTAGGCCTGGACTAGCCTTGTCTGTGTAACTGTTGGTTAGTTTGTTAGGGAAATATCTGTTGTATGATATATCCCATGCACTTTTCAACTTGTCTTGTTTAATTACGAGGGGGTGTCCACATACTTATGTTTTTTAATTAACTTAATTATTGGAGTGCAATCAGGAGTCCTCCTTCAGGACTTACAGGGAAAAAAACAGATGAAGACAGAGGCAATTTATTTCAATAAACGTTATAAATACCAAATTATTTAAGCTATAAAAATCAGTTTGTTACCATAAAATCACATAAGGGAAACAATGGATGGTCATATGGTGATTAAAATAATACCACATTAAATAATGGTGTAAACTTAAACATACGTAACTGATAACAAAAATAGAAAACTAACTTTTTTTAATAAAATTTAAACAAATCTAGGTGATATTTAACACTTATAAAAGCATATTGACCCGTTTTATTGAAACATATTGAAACAAAGCCTACATATAAAACAAAAAACATAATGCATTAATTAAAAAACATCAGTAACTAAAAGGCAAATTCATACTATTTTTCTTTTCATTCTTTACCATTACAGGATGTGAAAATCTGTTATGAACTGAAATTGGGGCTATTTTGAAGAATGTAAAATAAAAATAGTACTTTATTCTAAGGTGCTCTTTGTTAAACAAACATGTAGAGATATATTACTCTGTTAACAACATTTACTACACAGATTTAACAGCATTTACTTACTATATAGTTAGGGCTTGGTTAGGGCCAAAGTATAAGTAGCCTATAGTCTGTAAGCAAGATGTAGCCTATCAGGGAAAAATAGCTAGTAGACTAATAAAATAAAAGGGAAAATAAATGGAAAAAATGCACAGAATCCTAACATAATAAAAACACATGTAGTATTTTAGAGCTTTTCTATAAATCCATGATATCCATAGATAATAGACTACCACAGCTGTACATGCGCTGCTCAAAACTACAACTACCAGCATGCAACAGAACAAAACATTGCCTCCCCCTCGACTCCTCAGCATGGCTTTTTGGCACTCCCCAGCGGGGGATTGGTGCTGAAAGGCTTCATTGTGTCGGGGATTGAATGGGGGAGTTTGCGTTTTGTCGAAGTACGTCTGTTATCATCCACACAGCGCGGATTAACTGGCCTGCCCGAGTCCGAGCCATGCGCGTTATCATGCCGCAAACCTCCAGCGGTGCATTTATTGTGCATGATACAGATAAATGCGCCCAGCTTCAGACCCGCTGCCGTTGAGTGAACGATGCTCAACAGCTCCCAAAAAATGAGCAGAGGGCCCGACAGATACGGATTAACAATGTAGGGATGCTATTGTCGAAGTCTCTCATCTGATACTGAGCTCTGCGTGTTTACATCGATGGAGAGTGTGTCTAGTCACCTATAAGCCTGCTTATTTTTTTGGTTGCTTTTTTACCTCTTTATTACATTTGGCAGCTGAATACGTTTTACCGTCGCTGGGCATCAGACAAAAAACAAACAAAAAAACATGGGGAACGCTGAAAGTATGGATGCTCAGCTCACAGATTTCAGGGCGAGGGGCAACAAACCCCCTAAACTGCCCATGCCGGACCCGGCCGAACTGGAGGAGAGATTTGCAATCGCACTGGTAATATTCTTTCCTATCCTGAAATTGAGAAAAGGCATATATCGATGTAATTGTGTCATGTGCACAACTAGTATGGAAGCTGGCAGCTCACGCCAGCTGCACACACGCCTCTATTGTGTGCGGTTGGCAGTGTGCAATGCTTTGATGCTGTTTGCGCGTGCATGATAGCTACTAATTACAGGCGCGCGCGGCCCTTTATTGTGGAATCCTTTGGGTTTTTTGGTCTGTTTTATGCGTCATCAGAATTGTTAGCTCGGACTCGTTGTTTCATATTGCTGTGATTATGCTTCAAGGAGTCTGCCCGTAATCCAGTCATCGCAGCCAGCGTGCTCTGTAGGCCACCGTATTCCCTGCATTTGCTTTTAAATAGGGTTTCTTTAAATGCTAGACTTAACATGACCAAGAACCCGTGTGGAATGAAAAGTGGCCTACACGCACTTATTTAGATACAGATAGAGCCACAGTGTTAACATGGTATTTCATCCATTGCCATTGGCACAACCTGTCTGATTGTTGTCTGTGATGGAGTCTGAAATTAATCAGTTTGTCACGAATGGCTCTTTAAGATATTGTCTTCAGGGACATGCATGCTATCTATTCTGTGATATAATTCTCTCCTCAGAATCCAGCTTGCAGTCTATTAAAATAACATTTGGAGGAGTGGTACACATTTCCCCTCAGAGACACCAATATTTCCCCTCTAAGATCAATAAAGTGTAGGCTAACTTTGATCATGACCTGTTTTCCCTTTAATATTAGCTGGTTCTGTTCATGTCTGTTACTACAGTGATTTGATTAATGTGACTACTCAAAACTGCATTCTTTTGACAGACTTTACATGTGATGAGGGTCTTTAATCAATAGAAATTGGTCATATGTTACTTATCTCCTTGATTTAATTTACTCATTGTCTTCCAAACAGACACATGTTGTTTGCTTACATTAGAGACCTTCCCTCAGAACAGTCCAGATCTAATCAGTGCATTGAGAGTCCAAGTCATAAGTCATAGTGTTTTTTGCTGTGTGTGTAGGTGTGTCTGTGATAGGAGAAATGGAGCAGGGGGAGTGAATGCAAATTGGTTAATGCTGCCTCGTTTTCACAGATTTGCATCACAAATTCTGTCCCAATAGAGTTGACTTTTGCCACCCAAGTCTCTTCACCCTCTTCCAGATGTTGTGCAGTGCTCTTGTGTTTTCATTTGAGGCTCAGACTCATTGATTTCCACTGGAATCAGCTATTCTCTCATTATCATTTAGTCGAAATTTGGCTATTTTTCCCAAATAAGAACATGATGAACTTACGGTTTCAGTTGGTTATCTTTGATGGACTCAATTAAATTAATTTAAATGTATTTTAAGTTCATGCAATTAATTAAACTAATGCTATCAATCCATTTTATTACTTCATATTTGTACAAAATAAGTGTATGGACCAAGTGTGTAACATGCATGTAGAAGACATTTTTCTCAAATTGTTATGGTGGACAGAAAACATAGGGGTGTTTATAGTTCCTATGACTATTGCAGATGTACCAGCTGGAGTGTTTGGGATACTGGGAATGAAATTAGTTATAGGAATGTCTTTTTTAGGGAGACTAAAATAGCTCTTACTCAAGAGTAGGGTATAACCCAGCACAATAGGAACTGCCAGTGATGTAAGTGTACGTTTACTTGCGCATGCCATACGATTTTAAAAGCTGTGTAGTCTATATGTACTTGCTCCACAAACATGGAAATCAGCAATAGTTGAACCAACCCCAAAGTCTAGGCCCACATCAACTGATCATGGAGTCCTCTGTCCACCAGATGTTGACGTTGTTGAAGGCCGCGCTTAAAGGGTTAGTTCACCCAGAAATGAAAATTAAGTCAAATTAATTACTCACCCCCATGCTGTACCAACCCCGTAAGACCTTCGTTCATCTTCGGAACACAAACGAAGATATTTTTGATTAAATTTAAGAGCTGGATTACTCCTGAAAATGTTTAAATATTCCATGTGCCTACAGCGGCTCAGTTTATCAAGCGACGAGAATACTTTTAATGCGGAAAAAAAACATAAATAACGACTTTATTCGACTATTCCATTACTTCCTTATGGGCCTTGAGACGAGAATTGAAGAGATTTCCAGAACGCATGGGCGAGAACTGAGCTGAGGACGTTCTTCTTCGACTACTTCTTGTTACCGGCTGCTCACCGCTTAGGAGTATTACCGCCACCTACCGTATAAGATGATGATCCATATATAAGGCGCTCCGGATTGTAAGGCGCACAGCACTGTCATATTTGAGAAGATTAAAGGCTTTTAAGTGCGCCTTATAGCGCAGGAAATACGGTAATTGAAACGCGGATATACAGCGCGCGTCTTCCTCTGCTTGTAAACAGAAAGTTTTGCGCTTCCAGCTATATCAGCACGTCATCTTATACGGTAGGGGGCGGTAATACCAGCGGTGAGCAGCCGGTAACAAGAAGTAGTCGAAGAAGAACGTCCTGCCTCATCTCAGTTCTCGCCCATGCATTCTGGAAATCTCTTCAATTCTCGTCTCAAGGCCCATATGGAAGTAATGGAATAGTCGAATAAAGTCGTTATTTATGTTTTTTTCGTATAAAAAGTATTCTCGCCGCTTGATAAACTTATAATTGAGCCGCTGTAGGCACATGGAATTTTTAAACATTTTCTTTAATGACTTTATGGGCCGTCAAGTGCTAGTCCCTTAGGAAGTCTATGGAGGAGTGATCCAGCTCTCAAATTTAATCAAAAATATCTTCATTTGTGTTCCGAAGATGAACGAAGGTCTTACGGGGTTGGTATAGCATGGGGGTGAGTAATTAATGACTTAATTTTCATTTTTGGGTGAACTAACCCTTTAAATGACGTCTCCGTCTGGTGGTTTGCACCACTTCAGAGATTCTTTTGGCGGTGCAAATGCAACTGGGAAAATTTAGTTTTCAGGGGACCGACCTAGTGGCTAGTTTTTATAACTGAGCTCCTATAACTACCTGGTGTGAAAGGCCCTCTCATACTGGATATCCTTTAAATCTACATGTCCGATGGAGGCACTGGCATTTTGATTAAATTCTTTCATTTTTCATGCTCATGATATTCTGTATGAAGTTCCAGAGAAGAGATGTTGCTGTTCTGGAGATATTTAAACTAGGGTGACCAACTGTCCTGTTTTCCCAGGACATGTCCTGTTTTCATATAACAATATAACCATTTTCTATCCATACAGAGGAGGCATAACCTACTTTAAATGTATTGAAATTAATAAGGTATCTTTGAGTAAACTTTGAGTATCATTTGAGTAGGCCCATCTGTTTGCCGGGCGAGTGTCCTGGTTTTTGGTAATCAAAATATGGTCACCCTATTTAAACTGTTTAGACAGATTGGACAAAATTGTAAACGAGTTATCCACTGCTGTTGACTTTTTGTTTTTGAACAACTTGTAAAGAACAATCCATGGCATCTCAGGAATTTCAAAACTAGCTGTTAGCTTTTCATCACTTGTGTTTTTGATGAGCATGGTATGCAAAGAATAACTTTCCATGCATGAGAAAGAATGTTAACTCTTCTCTCTTTCTTCCTCAGAACTCTATGAACCTTCCTCCGGATAAAGTGAGGCTTCTAAGACAGTATGACAATGAAAAAAAATGGGAGCTGATATGTGATCAGGTGAGAGAGTCTGCTTCCATGCATTCTGAACCGTTATATAACCACATCTTAATAGTACTGTAGTAGCAGATCACTAAACGCATCATACAGTTTTTGAGGTACAACATTTTTCGGATATGCAAAACATTAAAATGGGGATGAAGGGGCAGTGTAACTTTGCTTTTCATTCATTACTTAAAGCACACCTCAAGTACTTCAATACCACAGCCAAAACTAACAGCTTAACTAAATTTCAAACATTACTAGTGACAAGACAAGTGAACAGTCAAGCATAGATAGATACAATAGAACTAAGTTACAAATAAAGGTTAGGTTCAGGAATGTAATTAATAAATGTAAAATAATAGGCTACTATAGTGTTCACTGTGTAAATTAAATATAGATCAATATTTGTTAAGCTGTTTTGTTGAGTGATTAACATTAAAGACATGGACAGCAGCATGTATTAATAGGCTGCTGTCACTTTAAGACTCAATGCACAGATCCAAGATAATAATATAGGCGATCAACGAATGAGGAATCAATTGTGCGTCTGTGCGCACAAATAAAAAAAGGCGATAATACCGAATTGAGTTCTCTTTCGCTTCTTGTGCTGGAATGTTTTAAAATCACTTGAATGTGTAAATTGGCAAACAAAATCTCTGCAAATGATAAACTTTCACTCTATGATGGTTAAACTTTGCAATTAATTTCCGATTGCATGCAAGCTGAACTGTGGGGCCTGGTCCGTACGGATCACTTATCAAGTACACAATCCGTTACTCCCCTACTTAATAGTCAGTAATAATAGTTGCAACCTTCTGTTTTAAATTTTCTACAGAAAATTGTGTTCTTGAATACACCCAATATTAACCCTATAAATCCTGCCTTATATTTGATACGCAACTTTCTATGGCCTCTAAATTATCAACATGTTTGCCAAACTTTCCTGAAAAACCTGTAACACTCCTACCGTGCCTTCTGTCATCTGATTGATGTTTTTTTTGTTTGTTTGTTTTTAGCAAGTACAATTTTTTTGGGGTATAATTCTGAAAAAAAAAGTCCTCTTTCAAGGTTGTGGTTCAAGGTGTTTGCTGTGAAATCTTTACGATTTTTTTTTTTTTTTAATTAAGAGTAAGTTTTATATTGTTAGTAATATTTCAAAATGAACACGTCAATAAACCTGGGTTTACTTGATTATCCATACTTTTTTTTTTTTTATGTGAGTATCAAATATGATACATCAGGGTCTTGGGGAACATTTATTTGTACATTTGCACCTGTAATAAAAACTACAGATCTTTGAAAATAAAATCTAAGCATTTGAATCCGTCTTACGGAGACATTATTTGGAGATACAGATTGAAAACTGATCCATACAAATATTAGAAAATGCACCAATTTGCTCATTTTTGGACTCTGAAATGTCGTCCAAACACCCCCTCCCCATGAGCTTCATATAATTTCTTATATTATACTCTATGAGCCATCAAAGCCATATGTATGCCAAACATGATACTCAATAAAAAAATAAAATAAAAAAAAAACATATTTTTTTTTATTTTGGCAGTGTTCAATACACTGTTCCATTTTAAAAATGACAGTCTGTGTGCACGACCCCTTAAACCCCCTTTGACTTGAAATATAATGTCCATAACAAAATTCAAGTTACCATATACAATGTTCAGTGTAATTGTATTTTTAATGTGATCTTGATATCAGAAGAACCCTTTGTGGCGAGAGCTTTTTTAGTCCTAAGTGCTCTGTTGTGGTTTCTTGGGGTTTTAGTCAATGGAAAAAGACAAGAGACACTTGCGATCTGGTCAACCGATTATATAAACAACCACTGGAATACTTGAGATTTCTTGCTTTTCTCCTCATGAGAAGACCCCTCATTTTCTTTAGTTCTTCTGACTCCTGTTAGCAAACTTTACTGCAAAAATGATTCCAATCAACCAAATATCTTATTTTATGATCTGTCACTAAATAACAGAAAGCATATTTAAATGTTTAAATGTTTGTAAAGTGGGTTAAATGAGTAAGTCTGCAACACTTTAAATTGATCCAAGCTTAAATGAGTGCAGAATATACTAGTATAATCATCCTGAAGTGCATAAAAACAGTGGAAAGTTCCTTTATCATAACAGCACCTCTAAGTAAACAGATACTTTATTAATACATTCTCTCTACATCCACCCTATCATGTCACCATGGCTACACTGACGTAAGAGGAGAGTATGGCTGACTCTGGAAATGTTTGTTGAGGTGAACGAGTGTGAAATGCCTGCTGTCTAAATAATGAATGATCATATCTCAGTGATTGCCATGATGATTTCAAGGCTGAAATGGGGTTCACAAGTGATTGGGTGAAAGTGAGACTCTATTAGGAGTTGAATGATTGGGAATTAGATCAGAGGATAACTGAACAGAAGAGGAGGTTTGCTTAGTAATTGTTTTATGCTGAAGTTGGGCAGGGGTTTGAACTTGCTTCATGAGGAGTGTTAAATATAAATAATAGAAATATAGCATAATTTGTGTGTCTTAACAGGAGCGCTTCCAAGTGAAGAATCCTCCCCATACATACATTCAGAAGCTCAGAAGCTTTTTGGACCCTGCCGTTACCAGGAAGGTGAGTTCCTTCATGTTACACATGCTGACTCCATGTCTTCCCATCTGCCATATTAATAGACCACTAAGATTTAAAGATCTAGGCCTGGTATCCAAAATTCTGCAAGGGATGATAATCATTGTGTCCTTCAAGGCACTTGGACGTTTTTGAGTAAAATAGCATGTATGACATGTGGATGTGTAAAGATGTGGAACCGAACTGGACAATAAGTTGTTAATGATGTATTTAAATGCACATCAGAGATATTTCTCTCTTCTGTGTATGCTGTGCAAGAAATCACAAGGAAAGAGGTATGAGCTTTGACTCATTTGAGATGCCAGGATTGCATAATGTAATGTATTGCATAATTACACTGTAATCTTAAATGGCTATAATTAGTGTTTAAAAACAAATTATTTTCATCGAGACGTCAGTAGCAGTATTTATTTCAGTAATACTGGGATCCTAAGATGCCATTAAACAAGTATATAAAACAGTACGTCTTTGTGTTGTTTCTACATTACCGTTAATTTGGAGATTAAATTAATTATTACATTATAAAATATATTTAAAACATATTTTTAATCACGATTAATCGGCGAAAAAATATGATTAATCTAGTTTGGGTTTTTTTTTATCACTAGAATACATTTTAATAAATAATAATTAAGTTAGTTTTAAAAAAATGGATACGTTTTCTTTAATGTCTATAAGTGTAACTGTTGGGTGGGTAAAAAAGATCCTTTTCAAAATCATCAGGCTCAAGAAAATATGTAAAAAAATATAATAAAATAAGGCAATAAAAAAATAGATAAATGTAAAATATTTACTTCCCATTAAGCTGACATAACCCTTTAGAAATTAAAAATGTATTACTTATTTATGAATTATTAACAGGTTTTGGTGCTTTAATCTTTTTAATTACTTAAAACTGCAACTAATTCGCTCTCAGAATACAGCGTTTTTTATATTACAAAAGAAAAAATTCAAAGTAAATAATTTACACAGAATTAAATATATTTAACTTGCCTGACATCTTCATACTCCGATTCTAGTCAGAATATGACCTCAAATGTTGTGGGCGGGGCTAAATTCAGCTGGCATCAAGGCTAACATTTTTTCACATTACAAATAAGTCTCACACATGAAAATATGTACCTGTCTTGATATTTTCGGAAGGGGTTGCCTCACAAGGGGATCATCATATTTGGGGGATTTGTAGCATCAAAACTTTTGAAAGTCCAGAAGTGTCGCATTTAAACTTGTATGCAAATTGTTTCACTCTGCCACTGGCTTTTGCAACGGTCCACTCAAGTTAAGTACATATTTGCTTAGAAATGGACATCTCTTCCTATTTTTTTCACAGAAATTTAGGAGGCGAGTTCAGGAGTCTACTCAGGTGCTCAGAGAGCTGGAGATATCTCTTAGGACCAATCACATCGGGTGAGTCCAGTCAATTAAGTTCATTTTCAGACTTTTGAGGTATTCAGTTGGGAAAAGGGCAGGTTATTCAATGTTTTGTTCTTCACAGGTGGGTGAGAGAGTTTCTCAATGAGGAGAACAAAGGCCTTGATGTGCTGGTGGAGTACCTGTCTTTTGCCCAGTATGCTGTAACGTAAGTAGTTCCTTTTTCTTGTCAATCTTTATTTGAGTCATTTTTTGTCTTTACTTCTGTCTTTTGTTTTCTGTGTAAGCTTACTGCTCACTTACCATCTCAGTACACCTTGAAATTATATGCGTTTTCACAACAGTCGAGTGTTGTTGCTGAAATCCTTTCACCTCACTGCTGGGTCACAGTTGCTTCTGACAAATGAATGGGAGTGATGAATTAAATGAGTGCCTCTTTTAGCAGTGACAGAGAGTTTGATGGATGGGAATGTGTAAGGTGAATTTTGAGATCAGTGTGAAAACAAGGTCGAATACAATTTGAATAATTTCAGAATCTTGGGATATTAGTTTTAAAGGGTTAGTTCACCCAAAAATGAAAATTAAGTAATTAATTACTCACCCCCATGCTGTACCAACCCCGTAAGACCTTCGTTCATCTTCGGAACACAAATAAAGATATTTTTGATTGAATCTGAGGGCTGTATCACTCTTCCATAGACAGCCTGAGGGACTGCCTCTTGATGGCCCAGAAAGTCATTAAAAGAAAAGGTTTAAATATTCCATGTGCCTACAGTGGCTCAACTATAACTTTATCAAGCGACGAGACTACTTTTTGTGCGAAAAAAAAACGTAAATAACGACTTTATTCGACTTTCCATTACTTCCTTATGGGCGCATGCGCGAGAACTGAGACGAGACCGTTCTTCTTCGACTACTTTTTGTTACCGGCTGCTCACCGCTTAGGAGTTTTACCGCCCCCTACCGTATAAGATGACGTACTGCTTGTAAACAGAACGTTTTGCGCCTCCGGCTATATCAGTACGTCATCATATACGGTAGGGGGCGGTAAAAACTCCTAAGCAGTGAGCAGCGGTAACAAAAAGTAGTCGAAGAAGAACGGTCTCGTCTCAGTTCTCGCGCATGCGCCCATAAGGAAGTAATGGAAAGTCGAATAAAGTCGTTATTTACGTTTTTTTTTCGCACAAAAAGTAGTCTCGTCGCTTGATAAAGTTATAGTTGAGCCACTGTAGGCACATGGAATATTTAAACCTTTTCTTTTAATGACTTTCTGGGCCGTCAAGAGGCAGTCCCTCAAGCTGTCTATGGAAGAGTGATACAGCCCTCAGATTCAATCAAAAATATATTTATTTGTGTTCCGAAGATGAACGAAGGTCTTACGGGGTTGGTACAGCATGGGGGTGAGTAATTAATGACTTAATTTTCATTTTTGGGTGAACTAACCCTTTAAGATGCCATGTCAGGTTAAAAATATATAAGCGTTAATTTTGCCACAGTATTTTTCATAATATTTGCCAGTTAATAAGTACCGGTAATTAAAGCGATACTACACTTTTTTTGGAAATAGGCTCATTTTACCACTCCCCCAAAGTTAAACAGTTGGGTTTTACCGTTTTCAAATCCATTCAGCCGATTTTCTGATATTTAGAAGAATATTAGTATACAGACAGTTTGGTCTCATTCACTTCCATAGTACATTTTTTTCCTACTATGGAAGTCAATATGAGACCAGAAACTGTCTGGTTACTGATATTCTTCTAAATATCAGAAAATCGGCTGAATGGATTTGAAAACGGTAAAACTCAACTGTCTAACTCTGGGGGAGTTGTAAAATGAGCCTATTTCCAAAAAAAAGTGGAGTATCCCTTTAAATGTATCATTACTGAAGTTCAAGTGTGGGTTGATGCTGAGCCAGGGCTGAATCCAGGCATGACAGGGTCTACTGAAATGTGGCATGGGTGTCTACTAGGGCTGTAACGATACTCAGGCACGGTGGTGGTGCGGTTGTCAAGTTTACCGGCACAGCCCTACTAATAGTAATTTAAAGAGATGGTAGCATTGGATCTGGATGGGAAGGATAACTGGGAGTTGGAAGGGGTGTCACGATTCTGCCTTCTCACACTGACACAGGTTTATGGATCTGATTTCTGATTTACTGAAATTTTGGTTTCTTATCACATATCGTTAGACCCCTAGTGTCTACAAACTCTAGACTTAAAACTCATCTATTTATCCAGGCTTATGTTTAAATCCCCATAGACTGCTACTAATCCTGCTACGTTTATTCTGTAGGCTGGGAACTATTGATCCATTCTTTATTAGAAGCTCTAACATTTACTTTCATTGTTTCTCAACTCCAGTCCTCAGAAGAACCCAACTCCCTAAATGGTTTAGATGTCTCCTTATTCAACACACTAAGAAACTGATGAGTTGATGTTTTTTTTAGTGAGACATCAGAAACACTATCTATGAGATCATGAAATCATTCCGATTGATGAATCTGAGCATAGTGTTTACATGAACGCCAGAAAAAGAGATGGGGTTGATGTGCACTTGTGTATATATATGCGACAAGTATCAAATCGGATTTGATCTGAACAGTTTTTCGCTGTTGTCGCATACTAACAATCCCCCTGGTCTTTCTTTTTAAAAGTAGACTTATAATTATCTATTTTAGGTCCCAATTTGAAGATGACGTGCACATGAACCTGTGTGTTGTGCTGCTTATATTTATCAAGCAGGAAAAACGAACCTATTCCGATTGTTGCGGTTACATATAACTTTTTTTTACGACTGGGCTACTAGTCTGATCACAAAAGGGGGTCTATGTAAATGCAGCTACTGTGATAGTTAGGTTCCTTGCACTGGAGCTGAGAAACACTTGTCCTAAGGTGTGGGAAAAGAAATTGAAGTAATTGTGCAACTCTAAGGCGGTGTGTCCACCAAAGCGTTTTCCACGGCCCGGCATATGTTTTCAATTGTTTTCAATGGGAGCGCCGCGTTTTTTAAACGCTATGAGCGTAACAAGGCGCTGAGTGTTTTTTTCACTCTGAAGCGCTGAGCGCCCAGCGTTTTTACTGGTCGCTGGGAGTTGAAAAATGTTTAACTTTGGATAAAACGCAGCACTCATCACTGTCGCATTTTACCCAGCCGTCCAATCACAGTGGAGGAGGGGCGGGACTAAACCACACCGACCAACTGTCACAACATTCAAACTGCTGCATATATTCTGTATCATAGCAACGAAACGTCTAAACGGGAAAAAACGCTGCGCTGCCAAACCGCTCTCAATCGCCCAAGGCACGGCGTCTTCAGCAGATCGTCTAGCGTTTTCAGCTGCCTAAAACGCGTTGGTGGACACGTAGCCTAAGGGCCACTTACATAAACATAGTCACTGAATTAAGACAGGTTAGGCTAGGCTAGGCTAGCTTCCATGTTACTATGGAACCACTCTCTTGAACGTTCTTAAGCATCCTGTTGGCACTCATATGGCGCTTTTCCACTGCTGGTACGGCTTGGTACGGCTCAATATGGTTCGGCTCGCTTCGCTTTTCCACTACGTGGTACGACTCTGCTCGACACGACACAGCTCGGTTCGCTTTAGCTCGGTTGTTTTCCCACTGCAGTTAGTACCTCTTTAAACTGGGTTGAATTACAGACTGTTCGATATCAGCGGTGGCTGTTACTGGCTATTTTCTAGCGGGTTTGGTTTCTCTTGTCGATGTCTATTGGTCGCCAATCAGTGATCTGCAGTGTTTCACGTCACATTTTAGTACCGGTACGCTTGGAACCTCAACAGACCAGGTACCATTTAAAGCGAGCCGAAGCAAGCCATACCATTCCATACCATGCAGCTGAAAAGCGTCAAAGCGTGCCATACCGAACCGAACCGTACCATGCAGTGGAAAAGCGCAAATAGACAGGCCTGGTTTAGTTTAGTTCAGTTCATACCTGTCAGATTGAGAACCTGTGTGTGTACGTAAAAGAACAACTGCCAAAACAATTGTAAAGTATGGTATGCTTCAAGGTTCAATTTTAGGCCCATTGTTGTTTTCCTATGCCCCCTTCAAGTGATTTAAGCAGTGGAATGCAACAAATTTCGAAGTAAAAGTCATTTGTTACCTCGACAGGTAACAAATAATTCCTTTAAGCATTCTTTCTCAACGACAAGTTAAGAGGACATAATGTTTTGTAGAACTTTGAGAAACCAAAATGACACATAGTTTGTGTATGGTTTATGCTTTAAACAACACTCTTATTCTCTCTCAGGTTTGATGGAGACGTAACAGAGAGCACCACAGGTGAGATTTCCGTAGATACCCCCTGGAGCAGGTCTATAGAAGATCTCCATGGTGACAGTAATCTACCATCACCGGTTAGCGGCAGCAGCATTCCACGGTCCACACGCCACTCCTTAAGGTAGACGCGCACAAACAAACACATTTGTGTTCACTCTGTAAATTGGAAAATATTTTTTTTACAAGACAGCCATTAACGTTTTATTGCAATCTCAGGTCTAATACTTTGCCCAGTCGCAGAACTCTCAAGAACTCCCGTTTGGTGTGTAAAAAAGATGACGTTCATGTCTGCATCATGTGTCTCAGAGCTATTATGAACTACCAGGTAAGTAGATTATGCAAGTATTTAATTTTGTTCAGCTGGTTTTTCAAACTTATTTGAATCTCTTTTTGTTTTTCCCTTGTCTATATCACACACTCTATGTCTGAAGTATGGTTTCAACATGGTCATGTCCCACCCCCATGCTGTCAATGAAATTGCTCTGAGCCTTAACAACAAAAATCCCAGGTAACACCACATACACACACACACCAGTATACTGGTTTCTATTAACCTGTATATATTTAAAGACTTCATCATTGCCCTCAAACATTTCTCCAGTTTCTGTGTTTAAACCTCTCAAATGGTTGATGAGAACCCTCTTATCTGTCAAGGCTTTCATCCATTACATTTGATCTTTTTTGGAAGGGGTGTTCTTTGGAAACTTTAGCTATAAATAGATGAATTGTCTGTCATTTGTGCTGATTAAGGTCAATAAGAGATAACAGTTTGTAACTGAGACTGTTCCCAAAGACTGTGATACACAATCCTTCAAAGCCGTTAAATAAAACGTCTATGAATAGTCCCTTGTATTGGTGGGTTAATTCCGATGTAATTTGCCAACCGTAAAACCAATAGGATCACTTGGCCTGCCCCTTGGAGATTTCTTGATTGGTTGTATTTGGAATGTTTTAATCAGAGTTTGTAGCAAGTATTTTGTGCGGGTCTGGTTTCTTGATGTAAATGTCCTTTTGTCTCCATTGTGCAGGACCAAAGCCCTGGTCCTGGAGTTGCTAGCTGCTGTGTGTTTGGTCAGAGGTGGACATGAGATTATCCTAGCTGCTTTTGATCATTTCAAAGAGGTAAGAAAGGATATTCTACCATAATGTATGAGTTCCATATATTTATTTATTTTTATTTTTTTGATAAAATATTTAATCACTTAATCTGATGCATTTTATGTAGTTAATGCATTCCGTTTCATTTAAAGAAAACAAAATAATGTTTAATTATTCAGGTTTGGCTGAAGCAAAAATAAACAGATTCACAAACAGCACAGGAAAGGCAATAACGAAAATCTGCAATAATCAATACAACAATCGCCACTTTTTATGGATCTAATCTTACATTTGCTGTTGGTTTGTAGTCCTCTGCTGGAGTTTGCTTTAAAATATGAATTTATTTCAGTTGTTGAGCTTCAATAATTGCATTTTCCCAATAAAAACAATGGAAATAACTGTGTGATCATTATAGATGTAATTAATCATAGGGTTTACGAAGGACTTCTGCAAAACTATTTAAAACAAAGCTAGCGAACTGTCCGAATTTCAAATGCACTGTTTCCTGTGTGTTAATAAAATATAACTTGTGTTTTGTGTTTCTCAGGTTTGCTCCGAATCTCAAAGGTTTGAGAAATTGATGGAGCACTTCAAAAATGAAGACAACAATATTGATTTCATGGTGGGTCTATATTACGGAGTCCTTTCTCTGTCCTCTGGAGTGCCTTTTAAACTTTCATGCTCTCGCCATTACTGATGTCATATCTCATCATCATTCCCTGTTTGTGACTCAGGTGGCGTGCATGCAGTTCATCAATATTGTGGTGCACTCAGTAGAGGACATGAACTTCCGAGTTCACCTCCAGTACGACTTCACCAAGCTTGCTTTGGATGACTATCTAGAGGTATAAAACTAATCAAAGTGCTCAAGTATATTCTCTTCACGCTTATTTAGAAACTCATGTATCTGGGGTGTGTTTTTGTGCACAGAGGCTGAAGCACACTGAAAGTGATAAACTCAAAGTACAGATCCAGGCGTACTTGGATAACCTGTTTGATGTGGGGACGCTTCTAGAAGACGCAGAGACCAAAAACGCTGCCCTTGAACGTGTGGAGGAACTGGAGGAGAATCTCTCACATGTGAGCGAAAGCACAACCACCACCCTTTTCTGTTTGTCTTTTCCAGAACTGATTCTTCATTCACATAATTTTTGGTATTTAAGTCTTCTAACTTTAGTCTGAATGCTGAAGCATCTTTCCTCTATCTCATTCTGTCTCTTTTTCATGATGGAAGATGGGCGACAAACTCTTAGAAACCGAGAATGAGGCCATGTCTAAAATCGTGGAGCTTGAGAAGCAGTTGATGCAGAAGAACAAGGAGTTGGATGCCGTCCGGGTCAGTATCACACCACCAGTTTGGATCTCATCAAATGGTTTATAACAACCTGTGAACATGATACTACGTTTTACTTGAATAATATAAACCAATTAGATGAACAGGGCTGTCAATTTAAACCATTTGTTTAGTGCAAGTCACTGTTAGATCAGTATTATTTATGGACTATTATAATTTTGGTAACATTTTACAATAAGGTTCATCAGTTAACATTTATTAGCTACCTTAGTTAACATGAACTAAGAATGAACTACTACTTCAGCATTTATTCATATTAATTTCAACATTTACTAATACATTTTTAAAATCAAAGGTTGTATTTGTTAACATTAGATAATGAACATTTTTATTAACTAATATTAACAAAGATGAATTTGTAGCAAATGTATTGTTCATTGTTAGTTCATGTTAATTACCTTTTAGTTTTATTTTTTCATTTTTCAAGTTTTAGTAATTTTGTCATTTTTAGTGTTTTTTTTAAATATTCTATTTAATTTTAGTAATTTAGTACTTACATTTTTTTTTTTTTCACCAAGTTGTCACGGCAAAACTTTTCAAGTTTGAAGTTTGTCATCTAAAATTTATATTCTATTTTATTTCAGCTTTAATTTGAGTAAAACATTTTTTTTTAATATAGTTTTAGTTTTGGTGACCAATAGCATAACAACACAGCAGCCAAACTCATCTAAATTCCATAAATATAGATCTGTAGTAGTTACTTTGAACAATTTGACGTAATTATGTATAATGGATATAAAAAAACTTTTGCTGATAATTTACTCACCCCCATGTCATCCAAGATGTCCATGTGTTTCTTTCTTCAGTCGAAAAGAAATTAAGGTTTTTAATGAAAACGTTCCAGGATTTTTCTCCATATAATGCACTTTACTGGGCACCAAACGGTTCAAGTTCCCAAAAAAACTTTCAATACAAACTGCAAACTTGTTCAAAGGGCTTTAAACGATTCCAGACGATAAATAAGGGTCTTATCAAGCAAAATGATCGCTCATGTTTTTTTAAATAACAAAGTTTAAGTTTTATAAGATCAAACGCTCGCCTTGCTCTGTTCTGTGATGCACGTTCGTGACTCTCCTGTTCGAACTCGTTCAACAAAATGAACAAATCTTTTTCCGAATCAATTCGTTCGTTTCTTTCATAGAATGAACCAAATGACTCGGAAAAAGATTTGTTCATTTTGATGAACGAGTTCGAACAGGAGTGTGTTACAGAACAGAGCAAGGCGAGCGTTTGAGCTTATAAAACTTAAACTTTGTTATTTATTTATAAAACGAGCGATCGTTTCGCTTGATAAGACCCTTATTCAACGTCTGGAATCGTTTAAAGCCCATTGAACAGTTTGCAGTTTGCACTGAAACTGTCTTTTCGACCTTGAACCATTTGGTTCCCATTGAAGTCCATTATATGGAGAAAAATCCTGCAATGTTTTCATCAAAAACTTTAATTTCTTTTCGACTGAAGAAAGAAATACATGAACATTTTGGATGACATGGGGGTGAGTAAATTATCAGCAAAAGTTTTTTCAAAAGTGAACTACTCCTTTAACACATTTTTTGTCTCACTTAATTAACACACTGTTTGTGTGTATGTGTGCACATGCAATCCAGACTGTGTACCGGGACGCCAGCTCACAAGTTCACACGCTCCGGCGGATCGTTCGTGAGAAGGACGAGACCATTCAGAGGCAGTCCACGCTAGAGAAGAAAATCAATGAGCTTGAGCGCAGAGGCAGTCTCCAGATCCAGGTGAGGGGTGAGGGAGATGGGGAAGGAGACGTGTCTCCGCTGCCTTCACCTCCTCAGCCCATGGCTCTTTCTCCCTGCCCTGATGCCATGGCCCTGGCCGGAGCCTGTGCAACATACAGCTCTGGCAGCACCTCCCAGACAGGCACCCTTAGAGCAATGGCTACACCTCCTCCTCCTCCCCCTCCACCACCTCCAATGGCATGTTCTTCTGGTGAGTAATAGTTCAGAGCACATCTTTCTACAACTAAAGATAATTAATATGAGTCTTGCCCAATGTGAATGCCAAAATTGCCTTTAAATGGGGATGGTGTAACCTAAAGACCGAGACACACCAAGCCGACAGTCGGCCTTCGTGCCAGTATTTATTTTTTAGTGTTCTGCACCATTGGCTCAGTCTAGCCAGTAAAGAGTAATCTAATTGATTACTCTTCTCATCTTAATAACGTCGTTACCATTACTGCCAAAAAATGCGGCGCGTTACTATAACTGATGAAGCTGGGGGGTTTTTTTTCATCAGACCAACTTGATCTCTGAGCGAGAGGCAAATACTTTTTTTAATGTTCTTCCTTGGTTAGTGGGCAGAGCACGAGACAAGCGCATAAATACTGACGATTGGCTGAGGTAGAGTAAAATGTCACTGTAAGCCAATCAGAGGTCGAGTTGGGCGGGTGTTCAAAAACACGCTTAGGAGTGATGGGCATTCGGCTTTTTTGACTCAGCTCACTGAAAAGAGACGGCTCTTTTGGCTCACAAACGGCTCTTTAAATGACTTTGACTATAATATTTCAGTTTTTATTACATAATTATTCAATTTCTATAGGCTACATTTGTAAAAATAGTGTCGGCTCTTCAGATATGCGAGCCAGCTCCCGACGTTCACCTAAAAGAGGTGAACGTCATTCGAGAATCGCGAACGACCCATCAAAAGCTCATTCGCGAACGAGTCGATCCATCATTACTAAAGCTTATTCGCAAACGACCCATCATCTGCTAACGATCATGAACTGCGAACGACCCATCATAACTTATAGTCGGACCGTACAGGACACACAAGGAACAATACAAGCCAGTCAGTCAACGAGAGACAGGTATGGTGACGAGCCCAAATAATCCAAAAGTAGCCTTCTCTAAATGGTATATTGCTTAACAAGCTTAATTAAATTTTGCCCAGATCAAAAGTTCCAACAATGTTATTTGCATTGATCCACTATACATAATATCTACATACATGGCATTTGATTGGAGGCTAGTCTCACTTTGTCCCACAGCAACATTTTTTTTTAGATGTGTGTACAATGTTTCATGTTTCTGTTAATAATGTATTGTATTAAGTGTCCATTCCATTATAATATTTATCAAATATAATTGAACATGCACATGTATTTTAAGTTCCGTTAATAGAGGTGGGGTCACATTTAAGCATTTACAATTTAATTTTACTTGAAAGTAACGTAATAGTTACTTTTAAAATTTGTAAATGAGTAACTAATTAAGTTACTTTTTGGAAGAAGTAACTAGTAACTGTAACTAATTACTTTTTAAAAGTAACTTGCCCAACACTGCTAGTCAGATGCCTCCTGAGTTTTTCACCATGTTGAATCGGCGTTGGGCCCTCGGTGAGAGAGAGAACTCTAATTGGCGAACGACACAAGAATAAAAGCGAAAGTGATGAAAGCGAGTGTTTGAAAGTGATTTCAGACAGAAGGCAGTTATAATTTTACATCATCATACCTGTGCATTTGAATGTATGATATATTTTCATAATAACATGAGAGGACTAAAATGAAAAAAGTGATTCAGCATGATTGATATTCAAAATGGTAAGAAAAATGGTTTGTGTATCTGAAGTCCTAATGGTCAAAGGTCCTGGGTTAAAACAGCGGGGTTGCTTAAATTTACGGTTCCTGAGAACTTTGTTCAAATGACTATTGACATGTTTAAATGACTATTAAAGGTGCCATCTGACATAATAAATCAAATCCTACTCCATATTCCATAACAGATGGGGGCAGTATAGCTCCAGAAAATGAGTTGTGCTCCTACCCTCGCGCATGTTATTCAAATCATTTGACATGATAGTAAAAGGTTGGAAGACCGCAGTTTCACGTGGAGCATTTGGAGATTTTTCAGAGATCAGAGTCTCAATGAACAACATCTCAATACTAAATGATGAAGACCGCCTCATAGGTCGCCTGTCTCAAAAACAAGCTGGTGCATTTCGACGACATGGGAAAATAAAAGCTTGGGCAATTATTTGAAGTGTATGGTATTCGTTTTGTTCATATTACACTTTTATTGTTAGTTTGAATTAATTTGACAGACAGCATTCGCTGATGTTGATCAAGCTAGCGCCATTCAGAGCTGCTTAACGAATTCACCGTGAGACACAGGCAATTGACACTAAGCAAGCAGGTTAGTTAAGCTCTCAAATTCTGTCAATTTTATTACGCAATTCAAACAATAAATACCGTTTTGGCGCTTGTACATGTTACACCACAGATCCCTAGCGCACGTGAACCGATCATCTCTACTAGCTAATGGAAAAAGAACATGAACTCTGTTGAAAGATACAGTATGCTACAACTTACCAAAATGTATTCCTCATGCATAATATCGAGCAGTCATTTTTTGAACTCTTCCCTGAACTGAAATGTAGTAGTGGGCTGTATTTCCACACGACTGACACCAGGTTCAAGTACACACACAAGCCGGCGCGAGCGCGACTCACTCGTGTACAGCAGTTTGGCTGGTGGTAACGTTGCCTGCCCGCATACCGCCTCCCATGGCCGGAACTGGTATTACGACACCTGCCGGGCCGGGGCTAGTAATTTAGCATGCTTATTTAGGTTTATATCTCGGCAGCACTATAACTTATCAGTTTTTTAATGACATCATTGCACTTATTTCTTCTTATTCTTTTGATGCGTGTAGCTCATTTTTCGGATATTTTTACCTCAATTATTCCATATGGCACCTTTAAACAGAGATCGACCGATTGTTGTATTGATGTGTCCAATAACTGATATGCAATTTCTGAATGCTTTTTTGGTCACACTTTAGATTAGGGTCCAATTCTCACCAACAATGACTTTTGCCTCAATAAACTCTTAACTACATTATTAACTATTAATAAGCAATAGTTAAGTTTAGGATTAGGGTATGTGCTTTATAAGAACTAATAAACAGCCAATATCCTAGTAAAATGCAAGTAGTTAATAATGAGAATTGGACCCTGTTACCACTTTAAAAGTGTTACCGCTTTTTTTTTTTTTTTGCTACAACCATATAAACAAAGCTCTTGGAAAAAATCAGACAACTGCAAAATGGTCAGTTTCTTTGGACTTACTATTCATAGGTGTGTATTTGATTAAAATAAACATTTTTGATTCATTCAATAAACTACTGATGACATTTCTTCCAAATTCCAAAGAAAATAGTCATTTTAAAGAATTATTTCCAGAAAATGTCATTTGGTCAAAATGAAAAAGATGCAATGTTTTTAGTTCTCGGGTAATGCAAAGAAAAGTTCATATTAAATTTAAAAAACACAGTAGTAATATTTTAATTTCAGAAAAGTTAAGAAAACAATATTTGGTGGAATTATGTTTAACGTCACTTTTGGTCAGTTTAATGCATCCATATAAATATGCATTTATATAAAAATAACAATATAAACATAATAATAATAATAAAACACTTTCTTAGGCCAATTTTTTTGATGAATTGTTTCATGGGACGCGTGCCATGCACATCCTGAAAAGTGAAGCCAAACGTGAGTTGCCGCACGTCGTCTTTCTTTTTTTATAGTCTATGTTTATGAACAATTAATGTTGTGTCCTCCTTGGTTGAAAGCTTTGACTATATTACTGAGCAATGTGTTTGCAAGCCAGTGATTCAACAGAGCTGCATAATGACTGTGCCAGCAAACATTGTTAGTTTGAGGGCGCACTTGATTAAAGACACGTTGAGTAGAAACGTGTAAATATCCAACCGATTAGAATTCAATTCTCTTCTAATTAGTAATTCTTTGTTACAGAAGCGTGCTCAAGCTTGTTATCCTCAGGTTCATATTTTATTGTTAGTGGCCAACACTGTCTCTTCTTTTCCTGTAGTTTTCTAATGAGTCATCAGCAGCTCTCGCACCGCCACCACCTCCTCCTCCTCCTCCTCCACCACCACCTCCACCTCCTGGGCATTCGATCGAGATCTCTGCTCCCTTACCTCCACCTCCCCCTCCTTGTGCTCCTCCTCTCCCAGGCTGCGGCACTCCCACTGTCATATTCAACTCTGGATTGACAGGTATGTGTGTATGTGTGCGTGAGTGTTTCTTTTTTTTTTTTGTCTGCTTTGAATTTTATTTTTTGTTAAAACATTAGATAGTGCTTTAACTAACAATGGGCAATACATATGTTACAGTATCTATTAATTTTGGTTAAGGTAAAAACACAACTGTTCATTATTAGTTTGTCTGCTCAGGTTCATTAAATAATATTGACCGATAAAACTTTTGATTTTAATAATGTATTAGTAAATGTTAAAATAACAGTAACTGAGATAAATAAAGGATTTATAACTGAAGAGTTCAGATGCAAAAGCCTCTAAATGCCATTTGAAATTTTCTTCTTTAATTATGATTTTTATCAAACTTGTATATTTAAGTTCAGTAATTTCACTTAAATAACAATTAATAGGTAATTATCATTGCCATTTAAGTGAAATTACTGAACTTAAATATACAAGTTTGATAAAAATCGTCATTAAAGAAGAAAATTTCAAATGGCATTTAGAGGCTTTTGCATCTGAACTCTTCAACTATTTTTCACTGTTAGTACATGTTAAATTCATATGTAGTTTACGAATGTTAACAAATGGAACCTTATTGTAAAGTGTTTTGTTTAATAATAATTGAGCCAATAATAATTTAGAACTAATCAGCATGTTAAAATGATTTCTGAAGGATCGAGTTGATGCTGAAAATTCACCTTTACCATCATAGGAACCAAATAGGACACTGTTATTTTAAATGGTATTAATATTTCACAGTAACTTATTATTTTTACTGTATGTTTGAAACAAATGAGACTTGGTGAGCTTAGAGACTTCTTTAAAAAATACTTAATCTTATTTATAAAAAAAATCTTAATTATTCTAAACTTTTGACTGGTAGTGTAATTGTCCAATCTTTTGTGGATTTTTGTTTATCACTTCTTAGCACTCTTTCTCTTTCTAGACTTTTGTCATTTTATAATTCTCTAAACATTTGTTTTTATCCACTCTCTTTTTCTCCTGCCCTCAAAGATGACCAATCAAGCTCTTCTGTAGGTTTCCTGAAATTTGTCATAGCCACCATTTGCTGTCATGATATAGTCGTATTTGGATGCACCGAAATTTCGGCCTTTCCGGTTTTTGGCAAAAGAGAAAATATGAAATTAAATATGCCGCCCCGTCCCTCCGTGTTCAGTGCTCAGCATGTTTTGTACTTTCCGTGTGTGTTTGTGTGCTGTGCTCTCTGCTCAGTGTTCGAGATGGTCCTCACTGCAGAACACGAAATCCAGGGTAGAGGAGTTGGATCCAGATCCAACTCCTCCCACCTTTACATATACCTAAACCTACCCATCTGCACCCCTGATCCCTAACCCCACCTCTAATCCTACCCATCTCCACCCCTTAGATCTGGATCAACTCCGCCCCTGGATCTCATGTACTGCAAGTTCCACTCCGTGTGTGCGCTGCGCAATCTGCTCTGTCGATTACGGCCCAAACTCATGTACCGATCACGCTCACAAAGTTTGCTCAATTAACGTGCCGATGATATTGTATATATATATCTTTCTGTTTGCAGTAGCCCAGTAATAATATGCTGTAACATGCTGGCAACGCTGGTAAAATGACGCTACCGTCTTGTTCACTGATCCGCTCCCTGGTATCTGTTCACATGCTCTGATGATAATAATAGCTCTGTTGGACTATACTTTATTTTGATAATTGGTCAAAAATCTGATTATGTTGCATAGAACTGAATTAAGAATAATATATTCATATGTGAATATATTGATATTTAATATGAATATATTGATATTAATATTAAATATATATATATATAATATTTTAATATTACATTTTATTTATATATATATATACATATAAAATATTTATATTAATATTGATATATAGGGCTATTTTAATATAGGGCTTCTTTCAATTTTGTCACTTTAAATAAATTATTTTATTTTATTGACTTGTAGTTTCAGTCAAATGATTGCAATTCATTTAAAAGTGTAACAATAATCCAATTATACAAAAAAATATTTAAAGCTGCAATCCGTAGCTTTTTTTGGGTTAAAAATGATCCAAAATACATAACCAGTCAG